ACTATTTACGACGTGCACTTCCCGTAGAAGTGCAATGCCGTCCTGTAGAGAGCATCGCAGTAGCGAGGATGCCGCCGACGTCGCGCTCTCGACGACCGCCGAAGCGGCCTCAGCCGCGGTCCTCCATAGGAGACGCCATTTTCTAACTGCTCGTCTCGGCAAAAACACAGTGAGGGCGCAGGCGGAAAAATAGTGAGCTAGGGCGCAGGCGAGCCGGTGTAAGCTTACCATTTTGTTAAACCATCCGAGACTGGGTGGGAAAAAAAAATTAAAAAAAAAACACGAAACAACCAAATGTAGAAGAGACAGGGAAAGAAATCAGTCAGACGACGTCTCAAACTCAGATACGTTTATTCAGGTGTGTTAACAAATCGTCTTGGCTTCAGCCAAGTTCTCGCGCATCGCAAATCCACCTTGGAGGAGCGCAAAAGCTCTTTGCGTACGCACGCAATAAAAAAGAAAATAATAACGTACACTAAAATGGCGGGAGCAAAACGTGGTTAGCGTTCGGCGTATGCGCAGTGGCGACGACGCTATCCTTTGCGCATACGGAAAGCTTTAGTGTGCGCTATTCTACAACTGCCTAAATGTCCTTTCGGTCGTAACGATTCTGCGTCTCGCTTTCACGTCTGTCGGTTTCCCCGAGCCACACCCGCCATAAGCGTATTCTATACGTTCTGGGATAGGATTGTTGTTTCGCACCAAGTTCAAGAACAGCCAACGCTATCCGATCAAGTCAATCAAATCAGCGCCAAAAGCGTAGACGTCATATGGCTCGCCGTCTTTCTGCGCTTCCTATCACATGACTAAACCAATCACGAGCGCTAAATACCCTATAATCCTGCGTTTTTTTTTTCTTTCGTGCGTGATTGGTTTAGCCGATGATATCAATCGCACAAAGACAGCCGAGCACTATGACGTAAGGTGCACTTTTGGTGCTGCTTCGTTGGCCAAATCGCAGCGACAGCTGCGGCAGACCGTTTTCGCAGCCCGCTAAGCATCCGGATAGCGCTCCGTATACTCCGCCACAAGACCTTGAACTATGCACACAAGGCTGGCGGCGCGCATGCGTATAGCTGCGGCGTTTTCTTTATGGATACCGTAGCGGAGGAGAAAAAACGATCTACTACAACTCCCTACTGTAAAACGGAGTATGTAAGCGAGCGAGCTGCCGGTCGAGGAGCGCGATCGCTCTAACATAATATTTGAGACAGGGTGAAAGAAAAACGACCGACTATAGCCCGGCGTCTTGTTTCCCCTTCGTCGTGTTTACCCCGGAGATTCCGCGGGGTGTGCGAGGCAAGATGAGGGAAGGGCGCTTGTTTTCTGCGGAATCGCGCACCGCCGCCGCCGCGGAATCTTGCAGATTGAGACGCAGTGGCACGTTTTGTCGTGTACCTCGCATGTGTTTGTCCGGGCCGTGCGCGTGCACGCATGCGAGTCGACGTTTCAACAGCTCCCGCGGCGGAGGGCCGTCTCGCGGCACTATTAGGCGCACGACCTTGCGCGTTGTGCAACCCGACGCGTGCAATCGGCCCCCCACAGCACGGGTTGGGCGCCAGTTTCCGAGTTGGAAACGCGGAACGCGTGCATGCATCCCGCGACCTTTTTCGTCGCGCACTATACTCGACAAGTGCGTGACGCCGGGTTTTCGGCTCTCAATGAACTCCGGCCTTCGGAACGAGGGAATGCGTTTCCTCGTGTGGCGCCGCAGGGCGGCCGGTGTCAACCGGGGGCGCCCTGGTGGCACTCTCAAAGCGGGGGGTCTGAAAACAAGAGATCACACCTTGTGTGGGCAAACGCGGCCGGCTCGTTCGTAGACAGCGCATTGGCGCGCGCAAATTCGTGCGACCCAATGGTGCCTCGGGGTGTCCGCGATCTGTCCCTGTACCATCGCCTCGAGTGCACCTGCTCACTGTCTATTAAAAACGGCCAAGTTTGACGATCTGGAATGAAATGAGATCTCTCCGCTGCTTGCGGCAGCAGTGCGCGCGGTCGTGCCAGTTAAAAGAGACCGTACAACGATGACTGGGTCTGGGTTCGTAATTTACTAACTGCATATCACCTCCACAATAGACCCTTCCCGGAATTCCGTCTGGCCACTTTGATCACAATCATCATCTGTGGAACGGCATCTGTGCCATACCAATGGCGGCTTTCTAGTGACTGATAAGGGAAGATGTTGAAGATGCTCCTAAGCGGATGATGCGAGGCCTTTACATTCGCCGGTTAGTACGATGCGACGTAGGAATGAACACAACAGCTACGTAAGTGTTCATTTCTAATTCAGATTCAGGAAATCTGTGGGCGGCACACAATCGGCTTTAAAGCCGTTTGGTTATAGAATTTTATCGAGGCGTCTGTGTCGGTTGGAGCTTTGTTCTCACTGCAGGTTCTTCGTCACCATTGAACTGAAAGAGATCAAGAAATAACTACGCATTGAGCAATTCCTCGCCTGCCGTTGACTTGCGAAAGTGGCGGTGCCAGATAAAATACAAGTTCATTACCGCCATTGGTATGGCAAAACCTAAACTGCAATACGAGCCACTAGATGGCACTGAATTACGGAAAGGGACTATTACGAACGTTACAAGTATGTTGATGTGTTCTCGTCAAGGTTACTCGTGAAGCATATAAAATCTGGAAGTTCAAGGAATGTATCCCCAAGTAAGAAGTATTGGTATAGAGCAGGGGTGGCCAGGCTGACCCGACGAAAGAGCCGCAAACAAAACCACGAAACTTGCAAGAGCCGCGGAGAGGGGGGGAGGGGGGGAACAAACTTTTGTCCAGAGCAATAAACGAAACTCGAACTACTTTCAATCTATCGGAGTAAAAAGCAGTCCAACTGTACGTAAGGTTGCAGTCGCGCAAGACTACCAAACCGCAACCTGTCATTTTGAGGGAAATGCTCGTATGAGCGGGAGGGGGGCGGGAGACGGGGGGGGGGGGGGGGGGGGGGGGAGGGAGTGCGCGAGTTGCACTTTAACAAGGTAGTCCTTAGAACAACCTCCGCTAAAGCTGTTTCAAACGGTCGTTTGAAGGGTGTTCTCTTCACTTTACCGCAGCCCCCTTTTCTATACACTCTTCAAAATGAAGGGCGTTCCATGCAACAAAACCTCATTTTGCAATTAAAAGATGGATGTTAATGTAAGTCACCAAACAGCGCCCGTCAACCCGCCGTCTAATGTACTTTAAGATTAATTGTTAGACGGTCGTCCTCACTGGCAGTGGGCCAAATATCATTCAGGCGATCGGCGAATCAGCTCGTAATTTCGGTTGCCAGGCGCCTAGCTGTGAGTCATTCACAGATCACGCGTCTGGGGTGATCGTTAGCTCGTGGACAGGTAATACAGTTCAGCGATTTCCGTCGCCGCACTCATTGGCCACAAGCCCGAATGCTTGCCGATGGATTCATTGTACTCAAAGGCAAGCCGAGCAGTGGCGCAGTACTCCTGTCTAAACCGCGAGTCGCATTCAACTGCACTGTCTTGACGTCACCGTGACACGCATTAATTTCATAGTCCCTTCAACTACCTTTGGTCCAAAGGGCTTCCAAATCAATCACTTCACACGGGCATTCGCGTCTCCACTGAAGTACATAATTTCAGACAGATTCATATCCTGCGAGCCGCAGTAGCGAGTAACACCGTTGTGCAATAACCTCCTTTGTGACCGTTTAGTGATTGAACCTTGAAGAGATACAGAGAAAGAAAACGTGAAGATTAAGCATACGGTTGTTTTTGCACAGCTGCTTAAAACCCTCAGTATGATATTCGCGACACATACAGACATCGCTGAACGACCTTCAAGACATCTGCCTGTTTATAGGGGCCGTTCGCACTACGCAGGTGCCGAGTTGCGTCTTGCTTTTTCTTTTTTTTTTTTTTTTTGTCGCAGATGCTTCTTACTTTTTGCGCACGTAGGAATGCTGAGTCATCTTCACCTGCGCGCATAGACCACGACCTCCGTGGCGTAAACAGAGGCTCGCTTGCGGGGCTTCTTGTTTTCCCGGCGATCTTGGGCCCTGGATGCATGATCCTGTTAGCGCAAATACCCGCGACGTATCCGGCTGCCTCATGACGTCCCCAACGGAACGGGTCCGAGGTGCTCTGACGTCATAATCAATGGCCAGCTTGACGTTCTCCTCCGCGCTCCGACGGCGCGTCCCTCGAGTTCCGCTTTGCGGGTCGTGCGCGGTGTGAAATCGCGCGTCAAATAACATTCCCCCGCAGAGAGGGTTAGGCGCGCGAGCGTGTCGAGGCTGCTTGTGTTATGGAAGCATCGTTACCTGTTACCGATCACGCCGCGCCTAGCTGAGCACCGTGCTGCGTGTCCCGTCGCAAGGCGAGTACCTGGTTTTGTTTGCGGGCATTGGCTGAGGTACTGCTGGCTCGGCCTGTTTGTGCTCCCAGCTCGCGGTTAAGGCGGTTAGTGTGTCGGCGGAACTCGGCCCAATGTTAATTCCTTTGACCATGAGATCGAGGGCGTCGTTATCCCTAGACCTCTAGGTCGACAGGGGCATAGGAACATGCAAGGTTGTTGGGCATACCTGAGGTCAAAACTTGATGACGTCATTGGAAAGACAATTAAGTCACATACTCCCATAATACGCCGGTTCTGAGGGGTGTAGAGTCTCGCGATATGCGGAATTTCATCTCTACTTCTCTCCAAGGGGAAAAAAAATGCAGTGGCGCGCGTTTGTGCAGATCTGACACGTTTTACGAGTGCTGTCCCAGAGCTCACGTTTCTGTCGAGACTGCTCACGTGGCTGGAGGCCGCGATAAGGGCTCGTAAAGCGTGCCAGGCGGGCTGTAAAGTTGTTTGCTATTTACGAGTGCACGGTGAAGGTGGCGTGCAAGCTTTCCCCGGGCGGCACAGCGCACTCACGCCGTCGGGGTGGGCGGACTTTCGAACCGCCCTTGGCACGATCCGCCGGCCGTCTTCATTTGCTGGTCCACGGTGACACGGTGACGAGCCCCCAGTGCGGTTCTTCTTCGCAGGGGTCGTGTGCGAGTGGCGGCCTGGGTGAAGAACGCCGAGATGCTCACGAGGATACCGCGATGCAGCCAGCTGGCAGACGGCTCTAGAGTGGGACACTGCTGACGAAACGTTCGAGCCGGAGTGCCGGCTTCACCAAGCCACCCTGGGGTAGGTCGGGTCCAGGGGAAAATTGTCGACTCCCTTGGAGGGGGGGGGGGGGGGGGGGGGGGGGGGGGGGTTGATTGATCCCTTGTTTGACCAATCGTGGCTTTGCCACGATTGGCCAAACGGGCATTCTATACTTTTTTTTCACTTAACCTCGAAAAAAAAAAAAATTCTGCGGACGCCTAAGCATGGTTGTGTCTGTTTAGCAGAAGAGGTAGACCTCACTAGAGAGCACGTGGTAGTCAATTGGTGTTTCAGTTAAGAGGGTCTGTAGCATTTCTGTTAATTCCGCGACAAGGTCCACTAATGAGCCATTCCATTTTTCCCTGAAAGCCTCACCGAGTTTATAACGCAAGAGCAACCTGCAAACATGGAATCAGCTGCCCATGAGAGGTACACAAACGGAGATGTGTATCTTTACACTTGGCTTTCGTAGACTCTAAAAAAGTCATGAGCCATTGTAGTCCGAATGTCTGCAAGCAGGCTCAGAATCACAGAGTAAAAATATGCTTAGATTCCTGCTTAATGCATCGTAAAAGCCCCTAGGCATGTAGTGCATATACTTAAATATTAGGAGATGCTATAGTCCTACGTAAATAATATAGGATGGCATGAACGATCGGATAGCACCTACAAAAAAACCGGAAAAAGTCGGCGCCTGCACGTAGAAAGCGGAAATTTTCGTCAAATGTGTGTTGCAGCGCTCAACTTGGTTTGAATTTGTGAAATTGTCCGAGTTGGGCTGCCCATCTAAAACCCCCGTGGGTCCACCTCGGCTTTACGGGGGCCAAGTTCACGGAGATGGGAACTCCATGGCAGAAAAGCGTGGGCATGCTCAACTTGGACAGCCCATGTGAAACCCCCCAAGACGCAGTTCTAGTCCAATAGAAACAGAACCAAACCCTTGAAAATTTGACCGTTGACGGGCGAGTCGGGTTTATAGCCAGATGGCCAAAAGTCCTTCAAAACTAGGGCGGGCGCTGAGTAATATGGACACGAATAAAAACATAAACTTCATCAATAAAATTTAAAATGAACGTTTAATGCGGCGAACTTGTGCCGAGAAACATAAAGTAACAAAGACCAAATATCGTAAGGGTGCAGGCGAGCTGGTGAAAATTAGCCATGTTGGCTAATATTCTGTCTGTCTCCTATTCCGTATCTTCTACGTTTTGACCTTTGTTCTCTACGCCAGTCTCAGCTTAATCCAACATGGCTAACAAAGACCGTACATACTTTCAATGCGACGGACGGACGACTGCCTAAAGCAGCCATGCGAAGCTCCTTTTGTAAGCGCGTGGGTATCTAGAAGTATCCGAGCTCGAACAAACAACAAGATTCTCGAGTCATTTGGAACATTCCAGTCATGCAAACAGAAGAAGGATAAAAAGGACAAGCGCGCTGGCGGGGATCAAACCCTCAAACCCTAACCCCAGCCAGCGGCGTAGGAGTTGAACACGCTGCTGACTCAGCTATTCGCACGCAATATTATCGTGTCCTTTTTTTTTCTTTTTCGCAGCAAAAATAAACTACGCTTGGCTGAACGCTCATTAAGGAATTTTCGTAGATGGTTTTCGCCGTCCCGCAGCGCTCTCCGCTACCCGCTACGGTACCCGGAACTTTACAGTCAAGGGCATCAGCGCGCAGGCGCAGTGGCGGCTTCGCCGCAGAGGGCTTAGCGGAGGGGGAAACGCGGTCTACGAAAACTCCCTGTTCTCCGCCCAAATATAGCGCTAGCGATTGAAGCCAGATGCCATAGTTTCAGAACCAACTGTTATCTCGTGAAAAAATTATAAGTAATTTTCTGAAAATTTCAAAGGGGAAAATGGGGCCCGTTTCGCGCGTTTTCGGTAACTGGCGCCGTTCGTCTCCACGCAGAGTGTCGAACCGAAATTTGTATCGGTTCGGTTAGGGTTCGGGTTCACGGCATTCGGCTCATTTCCCGTTCAGTCCCGGTTCAGTCCCGGAGAGAATAAATAACGGTTCAAACCGGTCCGACCCGATTTGAACCGCTAAATTGAGAATATATATTTCCGTTTTTTTTTTTTTTTTAATAGACATTGTTTTCGCCGTAAAACGAGTAACTATACAGTTATTTATCGTTCGTACAATCCACTTTTATTTTCAGGCAACAAAAATAAGAAATTGCGTTATTTAATTTTGACGCAACCTTTAAAAGAGAATTTAGAATAACACATAAAACGTTGTGTTTGTACGAATATACATTCATTTGTTTACCTCACTCACATATATTTTACCTGCATGAAAACATTGTCACGAAGTGCGGTGGGTCGCTTAATACACCAGTGATTGTATACAACTTTGCGTCGCAGTAATGAAAGTTGAATCCTAGTTGTGCTCTTGAACTAAGAAGTTAATTGTAGTGCATAAAATCATGAATGGCCACCTCTTCACCATACAATTGTGAATATAGTTTACGAAATACGTTGCACAATATATATGATGCCGACGCAACTGAGCAAAAAGCAAGAATATTTTCAAAATGGCACGGAAGTTTTAGGACAAGCCCTTGTTCTCCAAACCAACATTGTTTACACTCAGCACTGTGATGCAGGCGAAGAATAATGCAGAAAGACATGATGAAAATTGTTCACCCTAATCTATACGCACCTTCGCACTCAGATCGAATCTGGCCTAGAATAGCATGTACCAAGGTGAACATTTTCTTATACAGGATAAACTGGCATAGCCTGGCTGTTTAGATTTGTTCTTGACAAGATGCCGGTCAATTTAATTTGCAAATAAGCATCACCCTTGCTAATTGATGATTTGTTTGTTAACTAGAACGAAGTAGTAATGCATGCTCTACTCGACATAGCAGCTATTTAATTGGTTACTTTCCAACGGTCTGTGTGCGGAATCGTCGTAGTTCCGCCACACGCCCGTGTGTATTTCGTTTTTGTTCAGCCCACAGACATAAAAACTTGCTGTTCATCACATAAAAGAGGCAACACACTTCTATATGTTTGAGAAGTTACATTTCTGTCAGGAACACATAGTTATATAATTCAGCTTTATGGCTCTTCCAAATCACTTATGTGCGTGTCTATCGATAATAAAAACGCAGGTAAAAAGTTGCAAACCATCTTTCAGATAATTTGGGGGAGCATTAACTTATGATGCATCATATTAAGGTCATGTCAAAAAGGACTTTGTGCTCATACGATAAATTTGAAGGCAAGTAGACGCAATGTGCATAAAGAGAGAGATAATAACTGGAATTCTCCAAGAGAATCCGATACACGATGCATTACTGCAAAAATAAATACATAGATATGTAGTGGTATTCCTAATTACACATAAATAGCGTGAGGGACAGACGAACATTATTTGAATCCTAATATAAATAAATCACATTTGAGCATCAGCTTGCTTGAACTCGAAACTTCGCAAAATACTGCCTCGGGAGGCTAATGTTATGTTCGGTTTTACGTGCACTTGTTTTGGGCCACCACTTTACAGCTCTGTGCTTTATCAGTCATGCGCTCTAAATTGTTATTAGGCTGCCAAATATCAACGTGAGACTGCTATATATACTGAATAACTTTACAATTTGGACATCTACTTTTGCTAGTGTTGCGAGCATCGCTCTACGTTATCGCAGTATATGCTGGTGGTCATTGCGATTTGTTCGTGCTTATAAAATCAAATTCGGTGGCGCAAAATGTATGCTAAACGCGCTTTGTGGCAAAAGATTTTTTTTTTCATAGTAGTTTTTGAGGCCACGTTTTCTGGGGCTCTGATCAGGACACTTGGCGGAAAAGTGGGCGAGGAATTCGACCGCCGTGATTGGACGGCGCCAAGGTCAAACGCTGTTTGACTTTATGTAAAAAAAAAAAAGAGAACACAGCAGCAGCACAAAATATACCAAAATACAGAATAGAACTTAACATGTCAAACAGGAGAAATATTATCTTAATTCAATTACAGAAAATCTTGCATTCTTATAGACATTATATCGATATCACAATCTATTAGTGTATTAAGTAAAGTGAGAAGTGTGCATTTTGATGACTGCATAGAATAGATATTATGACAAAACGGCACAGTCCAATGCTCCGCCGAACGAGGTGGATAGGTTACGGCATGATTTTTAGCTCAGAAAGATTTGCTAAGGTGTTCTCATTTCGTTCCTTTCCTAGCCTTAAAGAGGCCATAATTTTATATGTGTATAAATTGAAAACACGCCATAAATTATATTTTGTAAATAAGCCTTGGGTACTGGAAGTGTATGACTCGTTCTCAATGAGGCGAACAAATTTATTTTGCAATAAATGTATCCTTCCTAAATTTGAACAAGTGGTTGTGCTCCATACCAGATGGCAGTAATTTACGTCCGAAATGAATAGGTTTTGATATACAAGGTAGCTTTACTTTTGAAGATAAAATATAACTGTTACGAAAGACGAGTTCAATGACCCTGGATAATCTAGTGAATAAATAGCTTACGTGACTGCCCCACGACATGTACTGATTAAAAATTACACAGAATCTTGAAATTTTCTATCTTTTTGATATTTGAGTTTAAGGCGGGGCTGTTTGTAATGAAGACTTCTTTATTCTTGGGCAGAAAGAGGATTGCCTTTGTTTTAGTAGCATTGATATTGAGCCCATTGTGTGAAGTTCAATTTTACAGCACTGTTAATGTCTCGTTTGCGTAATTAATTAGATCATCACTAGTTTTGCTTGAAAGTAAAAGGCTCGTGTCATCCGCATATATTACGAATTTAGGTGGGGAATCTACGCTAAAAATATCATTAATACAAATGTTAAAAAGCAAAGGACCCAAAATGTTCCCTTGTGGCACACCAGGGACAACTGGCTTTGTAGTAGACGAGTTTCCATCTAAATAAACATACTGTTTACGGTTAGCCAGATATGACTGGAGCAGCAGAAGTGCCGAACCCCGAATACCGTAAATATCGAGTTATATATATATTTTTAATCAATAAGTTATGGTTTAAATAATCAAATGCCTTAGTGAAATCAATGAATACGCCTAGCGCCACATTGTTTTCGTCAAAACTCCGTATATGATAAATTATTTTTGTTCAAGCAATGCAAGTTCTGTCGAACGATTCTTTCTGAATCCAAATTGGGCATTATTGAGTATTTTATGTTTATTTAAAAAGTTAGAAAGTCGAGTATGATTAGGTTTTTCTTAACCCTTGGGGAAAAAAAACGGAATAGAAATGGGCCTATAATTAAGTAGTTTGTTTTCATCGCCCTTTTTGCATATAACAGAAACTAGATCGCTGCATGAGATGCGGGAAAACCCTTGTAGGGAGACGCAAGTTAAAATGTAAGTTAGACAGGGTGGGATTCCGGGTAAACCGTACTTTACAGACCGGGTCTGCACATTATCAGCGTCCCAACTGGCATTCGAGCTCCTGATAACGATGCCGACAGAGTGCGGTATATGTGCTCCGAGCGTTTTTATGGCAAGCAACAATTTCTGCTTTGTTCGGGAACTTGTAATAGGCGTTTCCATTGCAAATGTATCGCCGTTGGTAAAGACGAGTACGAATTGCTAATGCAAAACGGCAAACGTGCTTACAAATGCTCCAGACACCGAGGATCTTCGTCGGATGAGCGGCTCGACAATGACAGCCATGACGCGGTCGATATATTGCGATTACGTACATCTACGGAAAATGCTGCATCTGGAGTCGACGCCACCGGCCTCAACTGACTTTGTCCGTCTTCTGAATGCTATGGCCACACAGTTGCGGAGGTGAAGAGCCTCAAGGCTGAGAACAACTTTATGCGCTCGGAAATTAGCTTGCTCAACAAGAGAATCCTCAAAGTCCCGAGGTTCTCGACGTTCCTCAAGGTCTCGTTGCCTTTGGCAACGAGACCTCGAGGAAGGTACGCCGCAGCCGCGGCATCATTTGCGTCCGCGCTGGGGAAGCACCCTCGACGTCCGTGCCAGGAAAGCAGCCATTGACGTCTGGAGCGGTGAGCCGATACACTGAGATCACGGATGCAGCCGTAGAGTCGCCCACCACCTGGGCGGATTGCGATGTCCCTTCTGCTTCTACACGGGCGACTGGGGAAATTTATGAAGATCGCCCGGCTAATCCTTGGATTGACGACGACGGCTTCACACGGGTGCAGCAGAAACGGCGAACTCCAGCGTCAAGTGGGACGGCGAAATCCGACAAGGTACTTGCAGCCCCACACAAACGGGTCACAAAGGCGCTTTTTGTGTCCAGGCTGGGCCCTCGTACGTCTGTGGCAGACATTGAGAATTTAGTGGCCCCCTTTTCAGCCAGCAAATCGGTGATTGTTACCAAACTAAAGCCCAAATTTGACTCGTACGCCTCGTTTCACCTCTTTTGTGACCAGTCAGTGTTCGAAATTTTGTATATACCGGAGTTATGGCCAAAAGGCTATATCTTTCACCCGTTTTTCGGCAGGCTGGACAGCTCTCGAGTCTTTGCGGCTGGGCCTTTAGTAGCTGAAAATGTTTAAAACGCTCGAAGTGTACTCAGAATACGCGTAGTTTGCGTTCGAAGTCTTCCGAGTTTATTTCGAATATTCTGTCCTGCTGCTTTGATCTCGTT